CAAAAGTTCAAATCGGTGATGATTGAACATGGGTACAAGATGACTAAGGCCAATCATTGTGTGTTTTTCCTGAATTTCTCTAAAGGTGATTTCGTTATTCTCTTTGCTTTATTTGGATGATACTCTAATTATTGGAAAAGATATTTCAAGAATTAAAGAGTTAAAGAACACTATGAGTGAGTCTCTTGCTATGAAGGATTTAGGAGAGGCTAAATAAAATTCTTGGTATTGAAATTGTTCGAAATCGAAATGAGAAGAAACAGGTGATGAGATATTTCAAGCTAGTCATAAACTATGTCCATCTACAGATGAAGAACGGTTGAGTATGAAGAACATTCCATACTCGTCAGTAGTTGGTAATTTGATGTATGTTATGGTTTATACAAGACCCGATATTTCTCATTTCATGGGAATGGTGAGTCGTTATCTTCCAAATTCGGGAAATATTCATTGGGAGGCTGTGAAATGGGTGATGAGATATTTGCATGGATCGTCGAATTTAAAGCTAACCTTAGGATGCAAGAAGCCTATGTAGGTTGGGTATACTAATTCAGATCTAGTAGGAAGCTTAGATGATCGAAAATCTACTTCGGGGTATATGGTGACTTTTACCAGGGTAGTCGTGGTTGGACAATCAAAATTGCAAAAGTATGTTACACTGTCTACTACAAAAGCCAAGATTATAGCTGCCATGGAAGCGTCAAAAGAGTTGTTATGGTTGAGGAAATTTGCAATGGAACTTGGTGTGAAACAAGAAAAATATGTCTTATTTTTTTACAATAAAAGTGTCATTCACTTATCGAGGAATTCCTTCTTTCACTCGAGGTAGAAGCATATTGATGTTCGTTATCATTGGATTCGTGATGTATTAGATTCCAAGTTGATGGAGCTTAAGAAGATTCACACTGATGATAATGGTTTGGATATGTTAAGGAAGGTGTTTCCTAAAGGAAAGTTTGAGTTTTGTCACACGGTAGCCGAATTGGTGTTGCCCTCTAACTAGTCGGTCGAGAGAGTTTGTTGGGATATCCCTCTTATTTGAAGTGGTCCAAATGAACGTGGGTTAGTAGGCCATGTGTGTATAAGCCTTAGTTGTTCTTTAACAAAGAAAATTAGGTCAATAATTCATAAGGTAAAAACAACAAAAGAAAAATTGAGAGAATAGTGAAATTCCCGCAGGCCACAACCCCAATTCAACATAAATAAATTCCACGAAATCAGAGTTTTCTCACAATCCAACCGTCAGATCATCCTGATTTTTGGTGACGGTGTTCAACACTCATAGAGGCACATTTTGGACGATGGAGATCAGATTTTGAGCATTCTAAGTCTGTCTAAAGAATCCTTTTCTGAGATGCAGTTTTGTGGTTGTTATGGTTGATTTTATCTCTTGTTTCTTGCTGTATTCCAAGACTGATTGTAGATCTTGATGATGTTGATGTATGCATCTAACTAATGTTAAAGAGAACATTTATTGTACCCATTATTTGATTATGGTGGAGATTTAAATGGCTAACGGGTCCCATGGATTTTACTATTAGTTAACAGAGGTTTTTCCACGATAAAATTGTGTTGTGTTGTTTGTTGATTGTCAGTGCATTTGGTATGCGAGAGAGATTATGTTGTTGACTTATTTCCTTGCATTGTGGATTTCCTCCCAACATATTTTATGATGTATTTCTACTTTTTATTGTTTTTATTTTGGAGTGAGATTTAGCTTGAGTTGTTGAAATATTAAACTTGATTTGGGCCTAACCTTATAATTTATGTTTTGGATTTTTGGGCTTAGTTATTTTGGATAATGTTTTTAGAAAACTATTTTAGTGTTTAGAGTAGGGTTGTAATATTTTCTAAAATGATCTTGTAATTTCTAAAGTTGGGAACTCTATAGAATTAATATATCTAGAGTTCTCCTTAGAGTACTATAAATAGAGATGTAATCCTACACTTTTATATCAAGTAAAAATACAAAGTTCTCTCTTACATAAAAAATTCTCCTACCTATCAAGTTTCTCTTGAAGCCTTTAATATTTCCACACAAGTTCCCTAAACAAAAAAGGATTTATTTCTAACAAAGTGACATCAGAGCTTCAAGGTCTTCAAAAGATGACGAATGGAGGTTTCCCTTTCCAAATGTCGATGCTCACAACGAACAACTATGGTAATTGGAGTATCAAGATGAAGGCGCTACTAGGAGCTCAAGATGTGTGGGATATCGTTGAGAAAGGCTTCAAGGAGTAAAATGAAGCCTCGCTAAGTCAATGTGTAAAGGAAACATTGAAGGAGTCAAGAAAGAGAGACAAGAAAGCTCTCTGCCTCATTTATAAATCAGTGGATGGAGATACATTTGAGAAGATCTCCAATGTAACGACGACCAAAGAAGCATGAAGGCAAGCTTCAAAATTGCAACAAAGGAGTCGAGCAGGTGAAAAAGATTCGTCTTAAAACTCTTAGAGGTGACTTTGAACGTTTATTTATGGAAGAGTCTAAGTCAATTTCTGATTATTTTCCTTGACTATTGTCCATAGTCAATCAAATTAAAAGAAATGGTGAAGATGTTGATGAGGTGAAAGTCATGGAGAAAATACTTCGCACTTTAAATCCAAGTTTTGACTTCATTGTTACCAACATTGAAGAAAACAAGGATTTAAAGACCATGACTATTGAGCAACTCATGTGTTCCTTTACGAAGAAAAACAAAAGAGAAAAAATAAACAAAATGAGACTATGGAACAATGACTACAACTCAATTTAAAGGAAGCAGGCTATGCAAATTTCAAGAGCCAAAAAGGACGAGGTCGTGGCCAAGATCATGGACGTGGACGAGGACATGGAGGAAAAGGAAGAGGCAGTTACAACAACTAATCCAACAACTTCAACAATGGAGAAAGTTGGAATCCACAAGCAACAAGAGGCTGTGGAAGAGGAAATTCATGGTTAAGGTGTGACAAGTCACAACTCAAGTGCTTCAACTGCAACAAGATTACTCACTACATGTCTGAGTGTAGATTCTCAAAGAAGCTTGTGGAGAAAGCTAACTTTGTAGAAGAAAAAGGCGGAGAAGAAGAAATTTTGCTGCTTGCGTGCCAAAACCAAGTTGAAGAGAAAAGAAACAAGTGGTACCTCGACACCAGCGCAAGCAACCACATGTGCGGCGATCAAAGCATGTTCATATAGATCAATGAAGCGACAACTGGAAATGTCTCATTTGGAGATGACTCAAAGATACCGGTTAAAGGTAAAGGTAAAATTCTCATACACTTGAAGAATAGAAGTCATCAATTTATATCCAATGTCTACTATAATCCTAGCATGAAAAATAATATTTTGAGCTTGAGATAATTATTAGAGAAAGGCTATGACATCCACTTGAAAGAACATAGTATTTTCTCAAGAGATTATGGACATAACTTGATTACTAAGGTGCCTATGTCAAAGAATAGAATGTTCCTCTTGAACATTCAAAATGATGTGGCAAAGTGTCTTAAGGCTTAATCTACTGACTCTTCGTGGCTATGGCATCTACGATTTGGACACCTTAACTTCGACAGTCTAGAAAGTTTGTCAAATAAAGAGATTGTGAGAGGCTTGCCTAGTATAAACCACCCAAACCAATTATGTGAATGATGTCTAATTAGGAAGCAATTCTGAAATATCTTTCCAAAGGAATCAACTTCAAGAGCAACAAAACCGCTAGAGCTCATACACACCGATGTCTAAGGACCAATCAATTCAAACTCTTTTGGTAAGAGTAAATACTTTCTCCTCTTTATTGATGATTATTCCAGAAAAATATGGGTTTATTTCTTGAAGGAGTAGTCAGAAGCGTTTGAAAACTTTAAGAAGTTCAAAACTCTTGTGGAGAAATAAAGTGGTCTTTCCATTAAGTCCATGAGATCTGTTAGAGGAGAAGAGTTTACTTCAAATAAGTTCAACAAATATTGTGAAGATCATGGAATTCGCCGCCCACTAACAGTGCCAAGATCGCCACAACAAAATGAAGTAGCGGAGAGAAAGAACCAGACTATACTTAATATGATGCAAAACATGCTTAAGAGAAAGAAGATGCCGAAAGAATTTTGGGATGATGCAGAGACATGTGTGGTTTATATGACAAACCATTCCCTAACAAGAAGTGCACATGAGAAGACATCACAAAAAGTATGAAGTGGAAGGAAGTCATTGATCTCTCACCTCAAAGTGTTTGGAAACATTGATTGGTGCACTGAACTATGTATCTCGAAATCTTCCTTTTCCTCAAGAACTCTTCAACACCATTTCTTCTAGTATAAATGTTGTTTTGTTTTGTATTTCTAAATTTCTTATAGTTTGATAAGCTAGTAAAAGCTAAGTTTTCAGTCTGGAAATTACATTATCATTATCATTAATTAATTATTCTCAATAGTATTGTTCATTACTGATTATGGCCAGTATAATTGGAGAAGAATACAATTTTCTTGTTATTTTAAATTAAATTAAAAGACTTTGACACTAATTATACCTTCTTAATTTTAATTATTCTATTTTAAAGAAAAAATGAATTAAATTTGGACTAGAATAATTCAACAACACATGGGTAAATACCATATACTAGAATAATTAAAATTTGAATGTTGAAAAATGTTTCTGATTTTCAACAAAGATATCCAATGTGATGGATTTGATTGTTGACTAGTGCTTATGAAAATTCAATCAAACTCTTAGGTGAGGTACATTTTTAACGACAACATTCCATCATCATATTTTTTAATAATTAAATAATCTAAATTATTTAAAAACTAAATAAGTGAGAAAGAAAACCCACTCTCTTCATATTCATACCTTCTATGTTTATATAATTTTATATTTTATATATAATCTATTTATTTATTTTTACAGAGCCAATCCTTTATTTTCTCTATATAAAAATGTACTCGTCATAGAAATAAAAAAAGAAAAGAAATAGATGAACAAGAAGTGGCATAGAGAAAAGAATCTGCAGGACACGAAACTACTCTGCAATGGCTGCTCCGCAATCAGATGCTCCAATTTCCAACATCGTCATCGTCATTGGTGTGTACTTCTATTCATTTCGTTTCTGTTTTTCTTCCTTTTTCATTTGATTTTGTGTTCTTAATTCATGTTGATTTGATTTTCAATATAATATCAGCTATGCAGACAGAGGCTCAACCTGTTGTCAATAAATTTCAGCTCATCGAAGATCCTCACTCTCCGTGAGTACCATTTATTAGGGTTTATCTTATCATCATTTTTTTTGTTGTAATTTATGATTTTAATTTAACTTACTGTACTGGTAACCCTAGGAAGCACATACTTCGACATGGACACCAGGTTGATACTTCTATTGTCAAAATCGTAGGACACTGACACCGATATATGATAGTCTTTTTTATCTGAATTGTCTGACGCGCATCGTGATTTACTGGTGTAGGACACTGATATATGAATCTTTTTTTATCTAAATTGTCGGACACGTGTAGTGTTTTATTGATGTAGGACACCAATGAGTCTTTTTTATCTGAATTGTCGGACACATGTAGTGTTTTAGTGATGTAGGACACCGGTATGAGTCTTTTTTTTTTATCTGAATTGTCGGACACATGTCGTGATTTACTGGTGTAGGACACTGTTATATGAGTCTTTTTTTTTATCCGAACTGTCGAACACGTGTCATGTTTTATTGATGTAGGACACCGGTATGAGTCTTTTTTTATCTCAATTGTCAGACATCTGTCGTGATTTACTGGTGCAGGACACTGATATATGAATCTTTTTTTATCTAAATTGTCGGACACGTGTAGTGTTTTATTGATGTAGGACACCAATGAGTCTTTTCTATCTGAATTGTCGGACACATGTAGTGTTTTATTGATGTAGGACACCGGTATGAGTCTTTTTTTTATCTGAATTGTCGGACACTGTCGTGATTTACTGGTGTAGGACACTGTTATATGAGTCTTTTTTTTATCTGAATTGTCGGACACTGTCGTGATTTACTGGTGTAGGACACTGTTATATGAGTCTTTTTTTTATCTGAACTATCGGACACGTGTCGTGTTTTATTGATGTAGGACACCGATATGAGTCCTTTTTTATCTCAATTGTCAGACACCTGTCGTGATTTACTGGTGTAGGACACTGATATATGAATCTTTTTTTATTTAAATTGTCGGACACGTGTAGTGTTTTATTGATGTAGGACACGTATAGTGTTTTATTGATGTAGGACACCAATGAGTCTTTTCTATCTGAATTATCGGACAGATGTAGTGTTTTATTGATGTAGGACACCGAGATGAGTCTTTTTTTTTTATCTGAATTGTCGGACACATGTCGTGATTTACTGGTGTAGGACACTGTTATATGAGTCTTTTTTTTATCTGAATTGTCGGACACGTGTTGTGTTTTATTGATGTAGGACACCGATATGAGTCTTTTTTTTATCTCAATTGTCGGACACCTGTTGTGATTTACTGGTGTAGGACACTGATATATGGGTCTTTTTTTTATCTGAATTGTCAGACACATGTTGTGTTTTATTGATGTATGAGTCTTTTTTTTATCTGAATTGTCGGACACATGTCGTGTTATACTGGTGTAGGACACGGAGACACGTCAATTAAGAATTTTCTTAGATAATCTATTCTTTATACATGTAAAAAATGAATATTTACTTTTCAGGTGTTTAAACTGATTGGGGTATGTCACAATGTTACAGGTTTCCACAAGGTGTTCCTTGGGTTCGTTATCATGGGAAATACAAAGATCTCAATATAAACTTGATTTGGCCGGGAAAAGATCCAAATTCTGGTAAGGATGTCTTTTCTTTTTCAACTTTTTTTCATACCAACACCACTTTCAAGTTCCAACAAACAAGTTCTAGGTATTTCACTAGGGTAGGTAAACAAAAGTTCAATATTTCACTTTTCCTGTTGTTTGGATGAAAGTGAAGAAGGTACCTGGCAGTTTTTCTGTTGAGTCTTGAATTGATTCATTTATTTTCAGGGGTTGATAGTGTGGGCACAATATCATCCGCTCTTGTAACATATGCTGCTATTCAAGCATTGAAGCCTGACTTGATCATAAATGCAGGCACTGCTGGTGGCTTCAAGGTTAGTACTCTCTTGGTGGTACTGTTACAGTAGCTGTTTTTCTGGTTTTGTACTCGAAAGTTGTGTATGTATGTATGTTGTTTTATTCTTTGGTATTTTCCTAATTTAACTTGCTTTGGTCCTTTTTCCTGTGAAATTGTTATCTCCTATTCATTTTATAATAGTTAGTGTTTCTGATCTGATATATATTTTTCCTTTATATACAGTGGAGGTGTTTATACAACTTTTTTGAATAAACGTTTCAGTGAATTACCTTAATGACTGTTATCAATGTTAAATATTTTTTTTCTCTGCTTAACATTTTGTCTTTAACTTGTAACATGATAAAAAACCAATTAATCTAAAGCGTTATTTATAATCAATCACAGTGATAGATTGTTGAGTTCATGAAATGACATTGTGCCGACATGTGCTAACGTATTGACGGAAAAATCATGGCATTGTGCCGACATGTGCTGCTGTTCTACTTTCTACTTTCAGTGTCTGACTGTCTGTGTATCAAATATTCTTTATAGTAAATTAAAATCTCGGAACAATTGTGTATGCAGCAAAAAATATTCTGATGTAGATATATACCTGTATATGTGCATGACCATGTTTTCTAAGTAGTGTTAATTAATTCTTGGATTTTTATTTCAGGCCAGAGGGGCTAGTGTTGGTGACATTTTCATTATATCAGATTGTGCTTTTCATGACAGAAGAATACCTATTCCTGTGAGTTTTCTTTTATTCCTATTAGTAGCTCTTGTTTTTTTCTTTTCCTCTCTTTCTACTTCAAATATGATTGACTACACCCGTTTTATTTTTACGCATAAGACTGTAGTGAATGGAATAACATATTGTGTTTTCTTTTTGTTTACATCTATAGGAACAGGGACATCCTTTGTCTAGTTTTGGTTTTTGTTTCTATATTTTATCCTCCTTTTTCCTTCGGTAATATCATTCTCTTATCTAAAAACTAATTATAAAATACTTGGGAGTGATGTACATATCTTGCTTTATTTGCTGCATTTAATGTTAGAAAGAAATGAGAAAGTAAGTGTAGGGTAGTTGACATTTTATGTCACGGGTATACTAAAAGTATGTAAAGTTGTGTTTTGAAGGATTTCAATGTGCTTGCAAATAAATAAAGTAGATTCAATGTAATCTTCTTTATGTTTCTTTTTAATCTTGCAATTGGCCTACTTTCTTAATTACCAAAGAAGATACAAATTTTACAGGCAAAATTAATGCTAAATAAATATCGGTTTGTATGTTTTTTAATAAGATTGCGTGTTATGTTTCATCTTGCACCTGGGAAAAACTAGAGTCTGCTAATGTAATGTATATGAAATATGAATGTTGCCCCCTAAATGTTTCATAGTGCCTTTTCTGCGACAAATACTTTTATTTTTGGGTTGGGCCCGGAATTACTTGCATGCCAATATCTGCTTGGTGCTTGTAATGTTGTAAGGTAGATATTTTGCTACTAACATGAATAGTACATGTTGTCTTTTGCAGGTTTTTGATCTGTATGGAGTTGGTTCACGTAAAGCCTTTGAAACACCCAACCTTGTACAGGAACTTAATCTAAAGGTAAAGTGCTATTTGCTAAATTGTGTTTGCTCCGAATAAAAAAATTCCAAAATCTATTATTTCTTGCTTCTGCTGACGCCATTGCTTGAGTTATGTGAGTGGCAACCTGGTAATATATACCTCCATGGTCTAGGGAAGGCTTAGATCCATTGCGGGCTAATTGTGGATAGTCTTATATCTTTACATTGACCAGCATTGTATAAACATATTCTGCTATTAGAAAGGAGTATTAAATGTTTTGTTTGTTACTTTGTTTATTTTCTGAGTTAGTCTTGCACAATTACAACATAAATCATAAATAAATGAAGAAAAAGGAACATTATTTTTTTAACATGTAAAAATTTATTATGCTACCGATGGTTGCCTGTTATTTTTGACAGGTCAATAATATATTCGACTCTCCTTGTCATCACTTATTACTTTGAGTTGTGTTCTAATAAAGCCGGATCAGTACCATCTCGGGATAGTTTAAACCCATACCACAGCCAATTTTGGAGTCAAATGAGTGAAGAGGATGGATACAAATGTATCATTGCTGGCTTTGCATTTATGTGATAATCTTTGTAGGAGACGAAACAGCTTTAGCCTAGATCGTATTCATAGTAGTAGACTTGCAAGTCATTAACCGACAGGACATGGATCCTTAATGTAGCATTGATGTTTTAGGTTGAAGGCGTGTCAATGTTAGACACCAACGCAACACCGACACACGTGGTTACATTCATTATCGGCGTCAATGTGTCTTTGTTGTATTTAGTATCCCAACCTGTTAGCACTTCATTCTATTCATAAACATATGGTTCAAACAGATCAGATGTATTTTGTTTTATTTTATAGTGCCCATTCCTTTCAACCAAAACTGAACGTTTAAATGGTATTTGTACGTATTTCAGGTTGGTAAATTGTCTACTGGCGACTCTTTAGATATGACACAGCAGGATGAATCATCAATCATAGCAAATGATGCTACTGTTAAAGATATGGAGGTATGTATTACACGAGAATCTGCATCTTATTCAATCAAATAAATCACTATAATTTTTGTAAAAAACAGTTGTTCATATCTATCTATCATTTGTTCAATATTCTCCAGGGAGCAGCTGTTGCTTATGTTGCTGACCTACTGAAAGTTCCTGCAATATTTGTAAAAGCTGTGACTGATATCATTGACGGTGACAAACCAACTGCCGAAGAATTCCTGCAGAATTTAGCATCTGTAACTACCGCACTTGATCTGGCTGTGGAACAGGTCATAAATTTTACTAATGGGAAGTCTGTATCTCAGCTTTGACAACCTAGTTTCACCTTTCCAAGTTTTGTTATATGCAATGCTCTACAATTGTACACTATCACAATTGATTGAAAATTTGTGAGATATAAGCAAAAATAGAAACTTGTAAACTGAGGATATTAAGCTCCAACCTCACGACTCTCTCTTCGGGCCTTGCAGGTTGATAAGTAATTTGGCCAATATTGTATTTGTGTCATTCATTGTAAACATGTATAATGACCTCCTAATTGATATCTCCAATTATGTCTATTGTTGCAAGTGATGGATCATTTCTCTTATATATATATAAGAATAACAACATATATGAGACTGAAAAATCATTGGCTCAAGCTTTGCCAACCCCCAAAGTAAGACAGCTTTGCATTAAAATCCTAACATTTAATTAACAACGTAAAATTGACCAAATTAGCATAGAGAGATCCAAAGTTAGACGGTTATAGAGAGATCCATTAGAATTGTAGTCATAAACAATAATCTTTTCGTCTTTGTGGTCACTGTTACGTAATTGGAGACAACCACTGTACACTATACCTAAACTTCCATTTTCAATTATTTGATTTTGATCTAAGTTGTAGGTTAATTTCTTAATTCTGGCAAGAGAAATTGGCATAACTCTTGTATTACAATTGGATTTTGCCTTATAGATCCAATGGTGAAAACCCAAATATTTGAGAAGCATTATCAATAATTATTAGAGAGTTGCTCTTTTTATTTTTAAAGGTTCTTCTAAGTAACTATGAAAAATTAAAATATTTCTAAGATTTGAAAATGTATCTCTGAACATAACTTTTTTTATATATAATTGAGACTTCCTTATTATGTCAACATTTGATCGGGAGATGCATTTCTGGATGTAAGAAAGGTTGATTCGGAGATGTATCTCCGTACCCCTTTAGTTCATTTGTCTATAAGTTTTTTGAAGACGCATATCGGAAATATATTCTGTTAGATCAAAATAGAAACAGACAGAAACAATGATATAATGAAAAATCAATATAAATTAACTCTAAAATAAACATTACAAATTAACTCCAAAATAAATATTACATAAATTTAACATTACATGTTATTAAAAACAAGTGGTTCGGCATTGCGACATTTTTATAATATTTTTGGCTTATCTTTGAATCGTCGCATCAATCAGTCCTTTGTCAAGTAACTGTAAAAGGTACTCCACATCACCTTCAAATCATCATCTGTTTCCAGTTCAAGTATAATGAACCGTATCTTCCATTCGTTGTCAATAGAGGGTGAACGCTATTCGAGCTTGATAACTCTTCGATTTTTTAGATATCGCACGAGAGTATTCAATTTCATTTTCAGATCGACGAAAAGTATGTCCCTGCAGATCTGAAATTGAAGTGTGGGGTTTTGCGCCATTGAAATACATAGATGCAAGATGGAGATATAGTCATTATAGTTTGTGTAAAGAAAATGGAATGAAAGGCTCTGCTTATGGAAGTCGTAGAGCAATAAGAACCTTACAAACATGATTATATCTGCATGAAATATTTCGAAGATATATCTCCGGATTCATTTTTTTTCTTTTTAAAAATAAGGGTTGCTCCGGAGATGCACCTTTGGATTATCCTATGTTTTGTTTTTTAATGAATAAAAAGGTGTGTATCCACCAAAAAATTATGCAGAACAAAATCAGTTGATTATGCATAGCAGAATTTCAAAACACAAAAAATGCCCAAAATATATCATCCAATTTTATAAAACTATGCAATGCGTTACATAAAAAAAACTTGTTACATTGTTAGATTACAACTAAAACACATCAAAACATATGTCACTACCTAAATCTATTGGTGGTTCATTCTCCGATCTTTTCTTATTTGCTTTTCTTTTAATACCGCTCAACTTGGTGAACTCTTCCATCCTTTCAAGAAAGTGATCCGACCGTCTTGTGTGAAATGTGTCGTCCACTCCGGTGATGTCTTTGGTATTGGACATCCTTGTTTCAAATAAACTTGAACAAAATGTTGTTTTTTTTATAACCAACCAATACACATGATGGGTTCAGATGGATTACGATGTGGCTTAGTCCGAAGTAGAAAGAATGTTTTTGAGAAACCGGTAGTTGACCCTTATATTTATTTCTCCTACCCAGTGATAGGTAGTCGAGTTTGTTTTGTCCTACCCAGTAACAGGTAGTTGACCCTTATTTCTTTCTCCTATTCAGTGACAGGTAGTCGAGTTTTTTTTGTCCTACCCAATGACAGGTAGTTGGCGGTTTTGTTTCTCCTACCCAGTGACATGTAGTTAAGTTCCGGTTACCCTACTCAGTAACAGGTAGTTGGTAATCTTTCAGTGTGAGTCCATTGCCTTCATTTTTCTACTCAGTGACAGGTAGCCGGTAATGTTCCACCTTTTGAGTATATTGCCTTTGTTTTACCAGTGACCGGTAGCAGGTAATATCTCTCACCTCTTTCGGTTGGTTATCCTTGATTTTGCCCAGTGACCGACAGTAGATAGCTCTTCCCCAGTTGAGTTGGCTTCCTTTCCCTTATCAGAATGAAATCTTATTCTTTTGGTTTTCCCCTGCTGAGTCTCTTTTCTCTTCGGCTCCCTAGTGTTTGTCTGTTTCCTATGGCATATTTTTCCCACAAAGGTCCTGTGTCTTGCATACCATTAGTATAATCATATCATCTTGTGGTCTCTTAGGGGTCAAAAGTTGAATTTATTATTATATTTAAGTCTCTTCTATCTAGTCGAAACACAAATGTCAATCTTCATATCTCCGGATAAAATAAACTTAAATAAGGGCAACTGTAATACCATAATTTTTGCCCCTAAGATCCCATATGCCATTTACATCATGCATCACAAATAAGATCACAAGCTTTGGTTCCGTTATCCTCCTCTGTAGGTTTGTTTCCGAGAGAGATCACCAAGCACATGTGTGTTTCTTATTTGCTTTTATTTGATTGTTTATGTTTACTAACCCTAATCAAAATCCAAAAAATATGTTTATTTTCCCTTTACTAACTTTTCAGGGAGAAGTTTGGATCGAGAACATCAAACACTAGTTCTTCAGTTTGAATGAAATTCATCTGATCAAAGTCAAAGTTGATATACAAACAATTCAAAATCATTTGATCAAGAGTTTCCCAAGATTTGATTGTTTATTACTCAAGAGACTCTAAGGTTCATGTGTTTATTTCCATGCCTTCTTTGACAAGTCAAAAGAATCGAGCCAGAGCCAAGACAACACAACAAAAAGTCATTTTTCTCATTTTTCACTGTGTTAATTGATTAACATCCTGAGGTTAATATTAACACGTGCATTTTTTGTGTGGCTAAAAACATAATTTTCAAAGTCTGCAACATTTTGGCACCAATTTTCAAATGTGGCCTCATGTGGAATATTCTAGATCATGCAAAATCATCACAAAAATAATTTCCCTACATAATCACAATTATTTTCACCATACACCCTCATTTAATCACCAAGTGATATTTGATTTTGCTTCTAATCTAATTATCAAGCCTAGATTAAATTTCAATCCACCAAAATTCTCAAGCTTAAACTCTATAAATAGAGCCCTCGTTTCATTCATTCTTCAAACTTTTGATAGCCAAATTCAACTTGTCAAAATTCTTCCTCATTCTCAATTTTCTTCATCTACCCCAAATTCACCAAAACTCTTTCTTCCATATAAGTTAGTAAGCTTTTCATTGAAGCTTACCAATCTTTGAGCTAAACCTCCATCAAAACACTTCATCAACATCAAATTCTGTAGATCAAAGCTTTGGAGTGTGGTTCTTGAAGTTAATTTGAAGCATTTTTAGATTTGGAAGTGGTAAACTCTTGTTCCACCATTGTTGTTCTTAACTTTCATCTTCCACAATATGGTCTCTTGTTGATCTTTGTTGATTAATTCTTTGAACAACATTTTGTGATTCCATTGGTGTTATTTGCTCTTGATTTAATGGAATTTTCGTGCTCATTTGCATTGATGATCATGAGGTGTTTGAAGAAATGATTCAATCATGGAATGCTAATTTTTTTTCAATTTTTTTTGCAGTCATAGCAGTCTTAATCGATTAACTATATAGTGTTAATCGATTAACACGAGACAAAATGCTATTTTTGGCTTGTTTTGAGACTGTTTTGGTTTCTTTTCTTCCTCCTTCCATTTTCTTTTGTTTTGCCTTGAATTGTGGTGTTTGTTGATAAAATTTATCTTCAAATTACATGGACTTTGGGTGTTTGATGAGGTTGGGTAAATCTTAATTAGTTCAAATCTATCGTTAAGTGAATCATTTGATTCATTTTATGTGCTTTGAATTAGTGATAAGTTTAGTACCTTAATCCACCAAGAAGAGTGATGGAACTTGAAGATGGAATGATTCAAATATTGTGATTCAATTTGGCTTTTCTTCCCCTATTTTTCTTTTTTCCTTTTGGTCAATGACAATCTTACATATCATAGAACTTTTCTTCTAAGTTCTTGATCAAGATGAGACCACTACCTTTTTTCTTTTAGTGTGCCATGTTTTAGGAGAATGGCCTACATGTCATTTCTCTAACTTGTGTTAACACAAACATTGTTATTGATCGACCTCAGATAGTCGTGACTTCTACATAAGTCTGATTACGATTATTTAATATAGCGCTAAATTGTCTCTAAATTGGAATCGAGTTGTTTTTGTAAGTGACTTATCAATATTCTATTCTTCATAGTGTGGTGTGAGATAGATTGTTTCTTTGTAATTAAGGGAGTTAGTTGACATACTCGTCAATTTTATCCGAGTTGGAGCACTTCCCTTAATTATGTATAGATTCATGTTCTCATGCTTATGGTTGATTAGTCGAGTATTCTCTGAAAAACGACCAAATATTCTTCATCACTAACATTAACATACTAATTATAATTGCGCTAACTTTACCCATTTATTTTTAGCTCTTTACTTTCTCGTTATTTATTTTTATACTTTTACATTTAGCATTTCATATTATTATCATCTTATTTTCTCTTTGTCCATTTAGA